AGATTCTGGTGACTCAATATAGTTATCTTAACAAAAATACAGAAGTACTTTGCCACTGCCTTCTTTCCAGGGTATTTTTTTTGGGGGGGGGGAATTTTCCCATTCTGGTCTACTGCCCTGAGGTTTCCTGGTGATTCCTCTCCAAGTACTAACTATTTATGGGTAAGTATAAACTCCAATGTGATTTAGAAACTTGCCCTTAAAAAGGTCGGAAGGAGGGAGAAGCCTGGAGCCCATATTGCAAATTTCACTTACTCAGACCTTTAAAAACATTATTTTGCTTCCCCGTAAGGGCAGCACAGCAGTGTGATCGAACCTCTGCCTTTTTTTGTGTGCATTGTGATGCATATAAAAAACAGGCAGAGCTTTGATTCCACCACTGCAGCCACCATATTTACCTTTTTAATCATATCCTGCTTCCCCAACAGCAAAGGGTTGGGTACGAAAGAACGGGGAGCCTGTTCCACGAGGAATTAATCACTGGTACTCCCATAAGGCTTGGACGGTTGTATGCCGCCCAAAGTTGCTTCTTGCGAGATGGGCAGCCATAGAAATGTGATTTAATAAATAAAATAAAATCAACCAATCCCGGGATTCCTTGGGAACTTATCAGGAGCTCCTCAGCAAGGCCAGTATCAGAATTGGGCCAGATGTGTTGAATTTTGTTTGAAATAACTAGCCACAGAATTTCCTGGCTCCTAGTCCACTGGTACAAAGATTGAGAAGCGTTTCCATTTTCACTGAAAACAACAAAAAATGACCGTCAAAAGCTTTGTGTGTGTGAATATTCGACATGCCTTCCACTTTTGACCTTCACATATTTGTCCAAGGTGTGATGAGAATAGAGTCCAAGCAGGACTCTCTCTCTCTCTCTCTCTCTCACACACACACACACACACACATCCCTGCACAAAAAATTGGTGCAGTTAAAAGTACTCTGTATTATAGGCTCCACACAGAGCATAAATATCGAGTTAGAAATGGGACCAGTTATGCACAGACCTAGATGGAAACCTGGGTCCACATAAACATTTACATCATCCCCAAACAGAAACTGCCTTTGTGCGCTGACTTCCATGAGTAAATGAAGTCTCTACCTGTCAAAATAGAAAACACTGTTCTGGGAAAAAAATGCAACACGCTCACAGTTGTACAAAAATATTTTATTTATTAAAGTAACAATCGTACTAAACAACCTATACTTGAAATGCATTGAATTATTGCTAGAATAAATACAGGCAATTAATTCAATCTTTTTTAATAAAAGGAAATGAATTATTTGACACTCAAACGTTATTACCCCAAAGCTTTAACTTATACATTATAAATAGTTAAAAGGCAAAGTCAAGTTTCTTTTTTTCCACTTGTGTCGTTTATTCGTTTTGTTTCATTTTTAAAATAGTTTAATACTGATCCATTCGGTCACTAAAAAGGATCTTCCCCATCCCCCGCTGAAGCGCATATCGAAAAGAAATTTGCAAGCAAGCATACATGTCTCCGTATCACAGACAAGTAAAGGGAAGTGTTTTGCACATCATTTTATAACAGAAAGAGAAGCAAATCTGCATCTGAATAAAACAGTTTCTCAAGCTTGGCCACTTTAAGATGTCTGGACTTCAAC